GGGGCTGGGAGGCAGCAGCGGTGCCAGCCCAGCCCCTGCTGCGGGGACAAGGGGGACAGTTGCTCCCTAAAAGGAAAAACCCAGCAGCTCCTCAGCCCGCCCTGCTCCTCCTGCAGAGCTGCAGCCCGTCTGGGATGTTCTGCTGCCATCCCGCGGCCATCCCGCCGGGACACAGAGGGGTCACCCCGCGGTGCCACCGCCCCAGGCCCTCTGCTTAACCCCCCTCCTGCGGGCAGGGCCTGCGGGGATGGGGAAACTGAGGCAGGGCTGTGCTGTGTGCCGGGGCTCTCCCTCCAAAATCCCAGCCGACAGCACCAGCCCTGAGCCCTGTGGTGTTGCCAGGACCCTGCAGACCCCCCAGCATCTCAGATCTGTCCCCACAAGCCAGCTCAAAATGCCACAGGGCCCCTCTGCTCAACGAGGCACAGCCTTGCAGATGGTGGAGGAAGAATAAAGTCCCCAGAGAAGCTGAGGGCCTGGTGCTGTCCTGGGCTCCTCATTTGCTGTTAGAGGACCAGGCACCTGGGTTTGGATGGACCCTGGATCTAGACGTTGTGGTGTGAGCCCATCTCTGCCCCAAGGACTTAAGAAAACTCATCTTGGAAAGCTTCTCTCCCTCACCTGTGCCCATCAGCTCCAGGAACTTACCCCTTTCTCTGTCCATCTGGCTCAGCAGGTTCTCTAGAGGAAGGAAAGGAAGATCCATGAGTCCCCTCTCCTCTCGTGGCACCATTTAGGACAAGAGGAAACAGCCTCAAGTTGCACAAGGGGAGGTTTAGATTAGATATTAGAAGAACCTTTTTTACTGTAAGGGTAACAAACCAGCAGCACAGGCTGCCCAGGGAGGTGGTGGAATCCCTGGAGGTGTTTCAAAGCCATGCAGACGTGGTGCTGAGGGACATGGTTTGAGCACTGGGCAGAGTTGGTTTATGGTTGGATTTGAATGATTTTAAAGGTCTTCTCCAACCAGAACGACTGTGATCCTGTGGTCAGGACAGCAGGGCAGACCCAGGCTCCAGCAGCATCCCACCTGAGGGATGGATCCTGCTGGGACCAGGTGTGTTTTGCTCCCAAACCCCGGGCAGAGGCTGAGGATCTCCCACCGGAGCCAAGCCCAGTGGGAATCATGTCCTGGGGACTTGCCTGGTGCCCTGGGGCAGCAACACACCTGCCGGGGGGCCGGGCACCAGCAGGGTGCACCTCTTTGCTCTACCTTTGAATGTGGCCGCTGCAGCCACGACCAGCTGGCTGGTCTCCAGGAGGTTCCTCAAGGTCCTGTGCAGCTCCGGGGACACCGGCTCTGGGACCGGGGCCTTGGCCTCCTCACAGCTGGGGGGAAACAACACGGAGAGGATCCCAGCACCGGGGGCCGGGTGGGAAACGGGGGGAACCCCCTGCAGCAACAGAACCCGGGGTGCTGTGTCCCAGTTTAGCCCCAGCAAACATCCCATGAAATCCCAGATAGTGGGTGGGATGAGCCAACCCCCAAACCCCTGCCAGGGGAGAGGAGCCCGTTCCCTACCTGCTCAGAGTCTTGCCAATATCCTGGAAGAGAGAAAACAGCAGGTCAGCTCCAGCACTGCCAGGAAGGACCCTGTGCAGGGAGTTACAGCCCCTGCAGGGGGGTGAGGGGGCCTGGGGGGTCACACCATCTCCTGGGGGCTCTCGCCCAAACCCTCACATTTTCCCAGCTCACAGCAGCCAGACCACGGTGTCACAGCCTGGCTGCTGCTGTGGGGGACACGGGGGGGTCCCAGGACTGGGGGGGGTCCCAGCACCTCACCTTGAGGAACTCCAGCACGGGCTGCTCACGTTTCCTCTCCATCTCCACAAGCAGCGTGTCCAGCAGCGCCTGCTTCCCTGCCACACGGGTGCTGTGTTCCCGGCGCCCCGCGAGGAGGTCCTGCTGGGCTTGGTCAAGCTGGGCCAGCAGAACCACCTCCTGCTCCTGCAGGAACTCCTGGAGCTGCCGGAAGGTTTCCAAGAGACCCTGCCGCTCCGAGGCCACCTCCTCCTGCAGGGCAGCCACGGGGAGGCCCCTGAGCCAGCCCAGCCCCTGGGAGACTCCAGACCAGGATGGTGGGGAAAAGGAGAAAGGAGGGTTTGGGGAGAAAAAGCTGGGCCAGGGGGAGGGGAAGAGGGTGGTCAGCCCGGGTTTTGGTGGCTGCAGGATGACAGCAGAGTTGGAATGAGAGATGGAAGGAGGATCGAGGGAAGGGCAGAGAGGGAGGGAAAACAGTTGTGTTATGGAAAAGGAGATAAAGGTACATGGGAGGGGGTGATGGGACGTGTCTGTGAGGAGGGGTGAGCAGGCAGGACATGGGGAGAGGGACATACCAGCAGGGCTCTGCTCTCCTCTTCTCCCCTGGGCTTCAGGTCTTCTTTCTCTTTTTGTAGAAGAGCCAGGTTGCTCTGGAGAGTCTCCTGGAGAATAAAACCAAACAAAAATAACTTTTAAAAATTGCATTGGGTGATTTTGGGGTCGTGTTAGTGAGATGGTGTCACCAAACAGCCCCTGTGGGGACAACACTGCTCTGCAGGGTTCTGGGGGTGGGTTCTGAGCTGGGGGAGCAGCACCCACCCCTGCCCACAACCCGGGAGATCCCGGGTGCTGCCAGCCTGGCCAGAAACAGTTCTGGAAGAGCTTCATGTGGAAACCCTGAAGTTTGTGGTTTGGGTTTTGTTTTTGTTTTCTGGTTTGTTTTCTTCTTTTTTTTCTGTGGTTTTGTTTTTTTTTTAATTAGGAAAACCCAACTTCTGGTGTTGCAAGTGGGATGTGTGGGAAGTGTCTGCAGGGACAGCAGGGCTGTGGCTCAGACACACTCCATGAAGTTGCTGGAGCAAAATCGTGCTGGGGGGGGAGACCCCAGCCCCTGTTCTCAGGGGGAGACCGTGTCCCCTGCGGCTGCAGCCCCAGCCCTGTCCCCAGCTGGGGACACACGGGGCACGAGGGACCTGGCAGGGTGACAGCAGGGTGAGCAGCAAGACCTGCACTCCTGGAGGGGCTGAGGGGGGTGAGAGGCAGTGAGAGCCAGCAGGGGGGTGGGATATGGGACCCCAGCCCATGGCCAGGTGGGAACATGAACCCCTAGCCAGCCTGGGACCCCAGACAGCAGCTGAACAGGGACCCAAATCAGTGCCTGGAGGGGACCCTGCCCTGTGCCCTGAGGGGACCCCAGCCAGTGCTCAGATTGGGCCCAGAGAGGAACCCGACCTGTTCTTGGAGGGGACCCAGCCCGTCCCAGGGGGGACCCAGACCCACGCCCAGGGGGGACCCAGACCCATGCCCAGGGGGGACCC